AGAGGACGAAGAGAGCACATCCACTCAGTCACGGTCAGAGAAACAGGACCACACTGGAAAACAGGCCGATCTCCAACATCTATAAACAAGGGTGTTGATAGAAGCAGCACAGCTGATGTTTCTTTCCAGGATGACGTCACAGCCAAACAGGAACAGACGAGGCAAAGCTACTCTGAGGAAAAGCAGAGAGAGCAGAAGGTTAGAGATTGAACTAACAGATTCTGCAGAATAGGAGAACAGAGAGAGAATGAAGCAGAATGATGAAATGGGGGTCCCTATGTCCTCCAAAAGTCTAAGCCTATAGCAGCATAACTATAGAGATAGCTCAGGATAACCTGAGCCACCCTAACTATAAGCTTTATCAAAAAGGAAAGTTTTAAGCCTAGCCTTAAAAGTAGACAGGGTGTCAGCCTCACGGACTAAAACTGGTAGTTGGTTCCACAGGAGAGGAGCCTGATAACTAAAAGATCTGCCTCCCATTCTACTTTTAGAAATTCTAGGAACCACTAGTAAACCTGCAGATTGAGAGCGAAGTGCTCTGTTAGGAACATAAGGAACAATCAGATCTCTGATATAAGATGGAGCTTGGCCATTTAAGGCTTTATATGTGAGAAGGAGGATTTTAAATTCTATTCTTGATTTAACAGGAAGCCAATGAAGAGAAGCCAGGATAGGCGAGATATGATCTCTCTTTTTAATTTTCATTAGAACTCTGGCTGCAGCATTTTGGATCAGCTGAAGGCTTTTAACTACGGTTTGTGGACTTCCTGATAGTAAAGAATTACAATAGTCCAGCCTTGAAGTAACAAATGCATGGACTAGTTTCTCAGCATCACCCCTGGACAGGATATTTCTAATTTTTGCAATGTTCCTCAGATGAAAGAAGGCAATTCTAGAAACCTCTTTGATATGGGATTTAAATGACAGGTCCTGATCAAAAATAACACCAAGATTTCTTACTTTATTATCTGAAATCAGTTTAATCCCATCCAAATGAAGTGACTGGCTAATCAGTTTCTTTTTCAGAGACTCTGGTCCAAAGACTATAACTTCTGTTTTGTCTGCATTCAGAAGCAGAAAGTTAAGAGTCATCCAGGTTCTTATGTCTTCAAGACATGCCTGTAATCTATGTAATGGGTTAGCTTCATCTGGATTTATAGACAGATATAGCTGGGTATCATCAGCATAACAGTGGAAATTAATCCCATGCTGTCTAATAATTCTACCAATTGGGAGCATGTATAAAGTAAAGAGAATTGGTCCTAGCACTGATCCCTGTGGTACTCCACAGGTAACCTTTGAGCGTGTTGAAGATCTATCATTAACATGAACAAACTGAATTCGATCAGATAGATAAGATTTAAACCAGTCTAGTGCTGTTCCTTTAATTCCAACAAAATATTCAAGTCTTTCTAAAAGAATATTATGGTCAACTGTATCAAATGCAGCACTAAGATCCAACAGGACGAGCACAGATACAAGTCCATTATCTGAGGCCATGAGAATATCATTAGTGACTTTCACCAGAGCTGTTTCAGTGCTATGATGAGCTCTGAAGCCAGACTGAAACTCTTCAAAAAGTTCATTATGGTGGAAGTGATCGCAAACTTGTTTGGCAACTACTTTCTCAAGAATTTTGGATAAGAAAGGAAGATTGGATATAGGTCTATAATTGACCAAGTCATCTGGGTCAAGAGACGGTTTCTTAAGCAGAGGTTTAATTACAGCAACCTTAAAAGCTTTAGGTACATATCCCTGTAACAGAGATAGATTAATCACATCTAAAATGGAGGAGGAGATCAAAGGGAATACCTCCTTAAATAACCTGGTTGGAACTGGATCTAACATACAAGTTGAAGGCTTAGATGAAGACAATAATTTGCTAATTCAGAGAGTTCAACTGGATCAAAGCAGTCTAAACCCGGTTCAGATTCCATGACTACCTCAGGTACAATCGCGGATAGAGGAGTGCTTATGATCTTATTTTTAATAAGATCAATCTTATTTATAAAGAATCCCATAAAATCATTGCTGCTAAGAGCAGGTGGAATGGACGGTTGTACAGAGCTATGGCTCTGGGTGAGTTTGGCAACTGTATTAAAAAGAAATCTAGGATTATTCTTATTCTCCTCTATTAATGAGGAGAAGTATGCTGCTCTTGCTTTACAAAGGGTCCTCTTATACAGCAGTAAACCATTTTTCCAGACTAGGAAGGACTCTCGCAGGCCTGTGGAGCGATATTTTCTCTCCAGTTTCCTAGCATTTTGCTTCAAAGTACGCAGCTCTGCATTAAACCAAGGAGCAAGCTTTCTATTTTTAACGGTTTTCATTTTCAAAGGAGCTGCGTTGTCTAAGGCAATACGCAGAGAACTAGCAACCCCATCAACAAAATCATCAACCTGTGAAGGGGAATAAGCTATGCTTTTGCACTCTGCAGCACTGCTCAGCGACACAGAGGAGAGAGAAAGTGAAGCAGATTCTTTAAAATTTATAACTGCACTATCTGATAAAGATCTACTAAAATTGAACCTTCTTTTGGGGGAGGAGAACTCTGTTAAAGTAATCCTGAAGGTTATTAGAAAGTGGTCAGAGAGGACAGGGTTGTGAGGAAATACTGTTATTTCTCCACATTCTATGCCGTATGTCAGCACAAGATCCAAAGTATGAAGATGAGAATGCGTGGGACTATTCACATTTTGAACAAAGCCAATAGTGTCTAAGATAGCATTAAAGGCTGCTCTTAAGCTATCGCCTTCAATGTCAGCATGGATGTTAAAATCTCCCACTATGATGACCCTGTCAGTATTTAATACCAAATCAGAAAGGAACTCTGAAAACTCATCTAAAAATTCAGAGTAAGGACCTGGTGGACGATACAAAGTTACAAAAAGAAGAGGTTTTCTTGCCTTGAAATTTGGATCAGGGAAATTAAGGGTTAAATGTTCAAAAGAGTTGTAGGTATTAATTGTTTTGGGAGTAATCAGTAAGTCAGACTGGAAGATTGTTGCTACTCCTCCTCCTCGCCCAGAACTTCTGGGGATGTGAAAATTTAAATAGCTTGAAGGAGTTGCCTCATTTATGCTCACATAATCCTCTTGCTGCAGCCAGGTTTCTGTAAGGCAAAACAAGTCAATGTGATTATCACAAATCAAGTCATTAACTAGTAGACTTTTAGAGGAAAGCGATCTTATGTTAAACAGACCGCATTTAATTGTTTTAACTTTTTCCCCAATTGGAGTTATTTTGATTTTAATTAGATTATCATGATTTACTCCTTTGGGAATCTTTGCTAATTTATTAGATTTTGGTCGTGGGCAAGACACTGTCTGGATGGAGTAAAGAGTGGGTAACAGTAGAGAAGCTGCAGAGATGTGTGTTAAACTACAACTCTGCTTCCTGGTCTGCACCCTGGGTGGTCAGGGTTTTGGAGGACTAATAAATGTGGCCAGATTCCTAGAAAGAAGAGCTGCACCATCCAAAGTGGGATGGATGCCGTCTCTCCGAATCAGACCAGGCTTTCCCCAAAAGGATTGCCAATTATTAATGTAGCCCACGTTGTTTTCAGGGCACCACCTAGACAACCAGCGATTGAATGACGACATGCGGCTAAACATGTCATCACTGGTCAGATCAGGGAGGGGACCAGAGAAAATTACGGAGTCCGACATTTTTTTGGCAAACTTACACACCGAAGCAACACTAATTTTAGTGACCTCCGATCGGCGTAACCGGGTGTCATTACCACCAGCGTGAATAACAATCTTACTGTATTTAACCTTATCCTTAGCCAGTAGTTTCAGGTAGGATTTGATGTCGCCCGTTCTGGCCCCCGGCAAACATTTGACTATGGTCCCTGGTGTCTCTAATGCCACGTTTCTGACTATGGAGCTGCCAATCACCAGAGTGGGCTTCTCAGTGGGTGTGTCACTGAGTGGGGAAAACCGGTTAGAAACGTGAACGGGTTGGTGGTGACCAGTGGGCAGAGATCCACGACTACGCTTTCTGCGTACAGTTACCCAATCGCCTGGCTGCTCAGGCACTTTTGGAGGACAGGATATATATATACATATATATATATATTGTTCACCCAAAGCAATTGGGTAAAATTAAATGTGTGAAAATATGTATATTCTACTATATATGTGTATGCATATATGTACAAATACACATAATGCTATGCAGAAATAGATTTTAAGTGTGAGAAATCTACTTTTATAAGTCTTTAAAATTATTATTAGAATTTATGTTGCATTCTAATAAAACGCCTTTAGCATGAATAGTAAGAAAGCTTACATTTCAAGCCAGTCAACATGATACCATCTTACCTGTTTGATGCCATGTGTGAGATGTTCCACACTGCAGTGATTTAAAAGTTCTTTATTTAATCATTTTTTTTAAGCCACCTTTCCTGCCATCTGCTCTAAAAGCTCTGGATCTGTACAAATATGTCTTTATATTCAATCTGAATCCATATACTGAATCCATAAATATGTATCCTGAAATAAAATATTTAACCGTTTTGGACTTCTCAGGACAAAATATTCACACGATTCAGATGAAAAATTATTTTAATTCTCAAGATGATAAAAATAATTTGTGAACTCTGTAAACCATTGCATAACTGTAGTGTAACATTTTTAACAAGTGTTAACAAACTATTAATACACTACAGATAATGTGATACACAATCTTCAATGTAGAAAAAAAAAACATCTAATATTCTAAGACTTGGACCTGCTTTTGTGTTCACAACACAAAAAAATATTAATATACAAACAGAATAATTTCTACAATTATCAGAATAGATTTTCCTACATATCCATACAGCTTGTCACAAAGACGGGACGTATTATAATCTATAAATAATGACTAAATCCACTGACATGAGATGCGGTTTCCTTAGATTTCACACAATCTTCATTAAAATTCCCCATGTTACCCTGAAAAAAAAGCAGTTTTTCTTAAATTATCTTATTCTAATAGAAACTTGAAAACTTGCATTTTTTAAGTTCTAATATACTTTATTGAATAGCAGTTCACAACTAAATGCTACATCATAATCAATTAACTGCGCTTCATAATACCTAGACTATTAGTTGAATATCTAATTTAGAACAATACATTCATTAATTCCCAGCTTTGTTATCAAAATAACATGTTGCAAATTTCTAAAAGTACATAAACCAGCTGGTTTAATGTTTAAATTCATTTGACTTCCTACTAATAGTTTTGCTTAATTTGAACAGCTCCATACATTACACTCATAAATGTACAAGATTGCATAAATTTTCTGGCTCTATTTTCATAAAGGTTAAGAACAACAACAACAACAGAAAAAAAAAAAACAATAAAAAAAACGACAAGTAAAAAAACACACAAACTATTCCAATGTAGAGTAGAGCTTCATGATACATGGATTAATATTCATATACAAGTCTTCCTATTTGGTGCTTTTTATTAAAACAAAAATAAAGACATTTTGGTGTTAAATACCTCATTCAGAACATAGAATTCAGGTAAATTCAGTGGTTATATATAGCTGGGGTTGTTGATCCTATATGGCAAATACAGACAAAGATTGGCAAGGAAAATGAAATCTAACATTTTTTTTTTTTTCAACTCAAACTGCTGAAATAATTTTTATTAACATTTTTTCTTTCAGCTCATACACCCTAAAAGCTCTGGACCAGAAGCCGACGCATTGCGGTGCTCCAAAATTATTTTAAGGCACAAATATTTTGATTCTAATCAAAGATTTATTTTCTGTTAAGTCAATCAAGATGTAATTGTTAAAAGGCACAGATTTATTTGGAATTAATTAGTCTGCTAAGAGATTAAATAAGGGGAAGCGAAAGCTGAATAAACAAACTTATATGGATTTTTTTTAAAGAAAACTTTAAACAGGGCAAGTGGATTTCTTGAAACCAACACCTACAGCAAACCGCAAAAGCAGTTGAGTTAAATTTTTGTCTGTATCTGTCATTGATGCTTCACAATCATTTTCTGTCCTGGGAAAACAGTAAATTTGACCATAAATTCAACAAATAAAAAAAAGAAAACCCCCAAAAATCAGAAGATATAGATTCACAAAGAAAGCACCTTACAGTCATTGTATGCCTACCATAACAATCAAAATGCAAATTTACTGATGATGAAGCAAAGTCAAATGGAATTTAATTAACACAGTATTGTAGTGAAGTCCATATGGCCACTTTAGAAGCACATATATCATTTACCAAGACGCTTTTTCATTGCAGACAACAATTAAAACAGACACTGAATTTGCGCTTAAAGTCAGCCAGTAGAGAAAAAACTGTCATAAAACATATTTTGTATGAATTGGACTCATGCATTTTTGAATACATTTGTGTATAAACCTGTAACTTTAGATATAAAAGCAAAGAACTTTATCTATTAAGGTTCTAGGTGATTTATCTCTTTTATTCAATCAATTTAGACTTCTTTCAGAAGTAAAACATGAAGAGTATTGGTTGGGGATCAATACGAGTCTTTGGTAAAACAAAAAAAAAAACAGACACTATTAGACGTCTAAGCAAAACCAAATCCTAGAAAATTTACATCCTACTGAAAAACCCCATTAAACTAGAAATCCATCCAAAAAAAAAAAAACAGAGTTTCAGCTGCTCTGAAAAGTTTTACCTCGTCTCAGTTTCGTTCAACTGACCTTTGTGCTTTCAACTATTAGAAACGGGTAATGTGGCCAAAGCTGGAGCATTGTTTGAATTCTGTTCAAGGGTTGATTTTTCTCTTTACAGTGCACACCATCAGGACAGCTACTAAACACCACTTTGGTTCATTTTGACATTTTTTCACACAAGACATCTTTAGCATTGCTGGCTTCACAGACAAAACAAAATAGACCAAAGGACTCTGCGAATTAGCTGCACTGTACACCTCTATCAGAAATATGATTCAATTTAATAAAAAAAAAAATAAATCTATAGCAGTACAGGTCAATGACATCATTTTGTATGATTTACAAAAGTACTAAAACCTTTTTCTCAAGTGGGTTTACAAACGATCAAAGTTTTAAGATACATAAGAGAATCTCATAGGTAATGAAATCTGATTGGATGAACAACATTCAAACATCGAAATGTATAAGAAGAAACTACATTAATACCTTTTCCAGTAGCAGCGAAGCTTGCAGAAGTAATTAAGCCTTAATTACATTATATAAGTTAATACAAATATCCTGGCAGTGTGAAACAGTGCAGACATTTTAAGTACTTTTTAACTAGGTGGTTGCTATATCGCATAACATGCAATACCAGATGTGTTTAGTCTGCCTTATATGCTATAATATGACCATTAAAAATGCTCAAATGTGATAAAGTTTATGATTTTTTTCCTCTGAGTTGCTTAATTGTCATTTGTGAGAATGTAAACAATGCGTTATCCCATATTCATAAGTAGCAAAAGGTTTACTATGAGATACATTTTTTTCTACTGAAATTAAAGCAGGAATAAAAAGTTTTTGCCTTTTTTTTTTTAAGATTTTCATTTTACACAGTAGAAGGTCCTTTTTTTTGTTAGAGGAACTCAAGGAAAACTCCTATGCAAAATCCAGCTCATGATCCGACTATAAATTCTTCATATTCTACAGAAATCTTCCAAAAAAAAAACATGTAAAAGCATTTTTGCTAATTTACTGTACAAATTTGAACGTGCCCTTAAGTTTGCCTACTCCCAAATGTAAAAACCTAATTCCAGAGAGTGAAGCTGCATCAAAAGAGCACCACAACAGAAGAATGAGCTGCTGGCTAGTTAAGATGGAGGACAGAATGGGGGGTTGTTTTTTTTTTTAAGGGTACAGTCAGGACGCAGGCACTGACAGTTTTAGTTGAAAATGTATTTTCTATTCCTTCTCTGCAGAAATACTTGCTGGAATTTGGCCAAAAATAATGGAATATACTCTTCTACACATCTATTCACATATGTTGATACTTTTGCAAAGATAAATGCGCAGGAACCTGTGCACAAGCTTCAACTACTTGTGTTTTGAGTTATCATACATAACCTTTATAACTAAGGCACTTTAGAGTCAGAGGCCGATATGTTCTAGACAAAGTCAAGAGGCTAGATCCCTACAAAAAAAAGAAAATATCACCACTTTAGGCTTATACCAAATACATGCTTATCTAATGAACAGCTTTGTTTTTAAATGTCTACATAACAATAATTACTGATTGAAAAACAGCCTTTTATATGTAGCATGTGCCTTACTGATATAACGGCTGCTGGTTATGCCTACAATGCAGTTTTAACTTGCACTTAATTGATTAGAATTTATAAATCTAACTACAGTAGAAACTATTAAGTACTTTTCTATGAAATCTTAATATGCAGAACCATGCTGTGTTTTAACAATATGAAACAAGAAATATTCAACTGTTTCACAGTACACACAGAAGCTTCAGACATTAGCTTATGTAGAAAAAAAAAAAAGTACAAATCTAGAACATGACAGTAAAAAACACCCACAGAAAAAAGCTTAAAGCAAATTACTATATACCCATTAATAAAGTCCCAGGTTAACAAAGTGCTCTTAATAAGAAATCAGACTTCTTTTCAAACTTAAGTCAAAATAATGCTTGACTGGCTGCATATAAAAAAACAAATGGTTAAAAATGTATCTATGATTTACCAAAAAGAATTTCATTTGAAGAGGAACAGCTTTAATATTTTTTTTATTAGAAGTTTAATATAGCATTAAATATTTTTTGGTGTTTTTCTAAAGTATAATACTTATTTCTACATCAGGGCTTCAACTAAAATGATGCGTTTAGACATTCGCTCTCAGACTTTTTCGTATTTAAGCATATTCCTCTTCCGTTAAAGAAACATTTGAGTTTTGCCCATTTTATGTTAATATCCCGTCTTCGTTTGTGTGTAGACTCAACATTTAGCTGCAAGTTTTACAATATTTGGTGGATTAATTCTAATAAAAACAATGTTCCAAACTAAATAAGCACTTAAAATAGATTCAATCTGGTTTTTCTAAGTATTTACTGGAAATCTTTAATTACAAAAAATCCATGCTTAATAAACACAAACCCTCACTTGCTTAAGCAAGATCATCTCATCGCTTTTACCGGTTAAACCACATTTTCTATAATATCTGTCAGGTTTGTGACTCACAAATCCTTTTTTGATTGTTTTATGGAACATAATTTACAATTACCCAAAATACAAATACAAAGGTGCCTGATCTATCTGTGGTAGATCTAACTTTCCAGAATTAATGTGAGCGCAAACAGGGGTCTAATGTAACATGTGCATAACGTGAGCAAAAAACAAATGAATTCTAGATTATGTAACCTTATTTTTAATACTAGCGGTTTTTGTCAGTCAAACATCATTTTATTCAAATATCATTTAACCACTACAAGAAAATGTGTTGTTTAAAAAATGTAGTATCTATTAGTAGCTTTCCAAAAAGAGCTAATTCTTTAAATAGTACCTTGAGTTACTGTACATCACCACTTTAATATTTCTGTACTACAATAAGGACATTCTGTTTTACTAGGCGCACAGGTTTCACATAGTACATAATGTTGGCAAGGTTGCAGAACAACGCAACGATCATGCTTTTGGCAAACTATACATTTCTTTGACTGAAGCTGATATATTACCTGTTGGGGGAAGAAAAGAACTGGGATCTGCTGCAACCTAGGAAATAAAAGCTCATGCAGATTTTAAGAGAAGAAGCATGCCGGACGACAGACATGGATGTGAGGAACAGCTGGGTAGAAACTATTTTAAAGCTATGCAGTTGCTACAGATGAAATGTGTGAGATCTAGGCTTTCTTACCCCATCTATAAGGTCTAGGTCATTACGTAGCTGACTCTGGATGGAGTGAAGCTTTGACAAGGGGAGCTGCTCAAGCTCGCCGTAGCTACGCAGAAGAGGTGTTCCAGGGCCGCGACAGAGCATATCAAAGTCTCCCTGGAGCTCCTTCAGCTTGCGGTCTGTTTCTTCCCATTTCTGCTCGGCTAGCTGCCGCTCCGCCTCGGCCGTCTTTGCTTGTTCCTTTGCTTCGAGAGCCTCTTTCTGACAAGCTTCGCAGGCCTGGAATGAATGGAGGTTTTTTTTTTTGTTTGACAGCATAAAAGCCTTTTTTCAGTGTCCTAAAAAATTGAAGTAAATATACCTGCCTAAAACATGCAAATTCAACCAGAAGAACGGGTCCCCACCTTAGGAATGGGGAGTCGTCTTGGGTTCTTAGTTAGCCTGCAATACCCAATACTGGTCTATGCCTCCGAACGGGGGTTGTTAGGGGAAATTGTTGGCTTGGCTGCCCCTATAGACCCCCCTTTCAGAGGCATGCTTTCTAAGCCAAAACAAGTTTTTGGGCTACTAGCTCAACCCGAATTCTGACAATTTTAACTGAAAAAGCTTCCTGGGTGGGAAGCAAAAAATCTTCAAACTTGGAAACAAAGTCCAGTGGATTGTTTTTAACTTTTTTGGATTGACTGTGACCTGGATGAATTAGAATCTTCACCACTATTACACCTACTTGTTTAACTTGATGCCAGGCCTCCTCCCATTGTTTGATCTTCCTCTTGGCTTCATCCAGCTCTCTAAATAGACGTGCCACATCTGCACTGCTGGCTGGGGAGGTCAGGCTGCTGAAAACTGGTGATGGACTCGGCGAGAAGCTGCCACTTACAAAGTCCCAAATGTTACTTGCGCCGCCATTCAAACCTAAACGCATATAGAGTATGGTTAAGCTGCTGAAACCTACTGAAGTTTCTAATGCAATCAAATGCTCGTAAGTTTTACAAAAAATCTAAATGCAACCAGCTTACCCAGGGAGTTCTGGGAGGTTGGTGTTCCCAGTAAGCCATGTTCTTGCTTGGCGAGCATGTTTGAAGCCTGACTTTGCTGGGAAACTGTCCCAGAAAGCAACGACTGTGACAGGGACTGGGAGAGGGAGCTTAGGGGGGAGGTGGAGAGCGATGATGAGGAATTAAACGAGGATGAGCGCGCCAGAGATCCTGGAATGTTGACAGGAGCAGATCCACCAAGCACCCTGTGACCTGAAGAAAAAAAAAAAAAAGAAAAAAGCTGATGTCTTCGTAACCAACAGCTGAGAGATTGCTTTTATAGATGTGACTTACTTGTCAGTCCTAAGCTGCCCTCTTGCTCCTCTAATTCTTTTTCAAGAGAGGCGACGTTGATATCACTAAACTTGAGGTCCAGCGCCGACCCTGATCGTAAACGAGATGAATCAGATTTGACATTTTACAACAAAAAGCAGCAATAGTTCCCAGCCTTTTGGTTTGACACACACTGACCTATGACAGACTCCACAGTGTTGCTCCCTGGATAGAACGGAGTCGCTTTTGCGTTCATCGTCGATAAGGTTGTGGGTGAAGAGCTTTCAGAGCCAATACTAGAGGCCAAGCTGGATGTTATGCTGGAGGTAAAACCTGATGCCAAAGGGTTCCCCACAGAGAATACGCTGTTTTGTGTCTGACAAAGAAAGCAGAGATGTTATCAAGCTCTTGAGTAAAATCCTTCTAAGAAAATATAGAAACACAGAACACGTTCAAACCTGCTTTTCTTGGTCCAACAGTTTGTGATCCATATGTCCCTTGATTTTAATCTACAACAGAAGACACAAAAGTAGAAAATCTTAACAAGGAATGACGTCATCTGAACAGTTAAGAGTTCTTTAAGTGACATTTTTTTATACTGAGCAACAGGTAAAGAACATCTGTGTCTTTATTCCGGTCTTTTAGTTTGTACCAATAAAAAGACTGTAAATGTTAAAACCTCTGCTCTCTTTTTGGTGCTTGAAATGTAAGAACTTAGGTGAGATACCTATACTATTATAAAACTTGAAATCCAACAAGCTATAATGGTCAAGATTATAGCTTAAAAGTATGAAAGAGGATTCTGTGGTGGAAAATATGTCCAATGGCTGTTTGTGTATTTTCGAATTGTGTGCGTGCATCAGTGCCCCCACATTCGCAAAAGTTCTCTACACTGGAAACGCCTCGCCCGTAATTTTGAATTTCACCAAGAGAGGCAGCAATTCCAATTTATATTCCAGGATGCACCTAGTCAGCAGGAAATCTCCTTAAGAAGAAGAGGTTTCTGCCGACGTTATCATAGCAAGTTATATTTACAATTTGTTAATGTGTTTTTGCTGCTGCTGCAACAACTTACTTTGGGATTTCAAATGGCAAACTCCGCAGTGAATATGTTTTTTTTTTTTTATAAAAACGTATAAAAAAAATGCATGTTATTGTTGAGGTGCTTAGCCGGCGCTCCATTTTGTATATTTAGATTAAACACAGCAGTACGCTTGAAAATAACACTGGTTAAACTTTTACCAATCTAGATATGTTGTACATCGCTAGAAAGCTTAAATTCTCCACAATTCAACCGCCGTTCATTTTATGGACACCATAAGACACAACTTATTAAGATATAGCAAAATGTTAAATTTCGGGACGGTATGGAGGGGGGGCATTCAAAATGGACCTTCCCAGTCCAACACCAGCCGAATGGCAGCCCACTTCCCTGCAACTCCCAGAAAATACCCTCAAACTTCCACCCACTGGAGTAACCACCTTATTCTCCTGGCTGTGCATTTTTTCACTCTGGCTCCACCCTTTCACTGAATCACAGGGTCTGACCAGGAGATGACGCTTCTCTTTAGATCTTAATGTCCACAAATCATGATAAAGATTTATGTCTAAAAAGGAATTGTAGGGGACCAGCCAAGGCCCCATCAAGGAAAGTGGGGATATTTAAAAATGGTTACTACTACAAGTGCAAGAATACCATCCATTAATTAAGTCATTTTAGATTAATCTGGACACTTATGTTTTGGGGAAAATCCTCTTTAATATCTTTAAGCTATTAAATTAAAAAGACAGCAGAAAAAAATAATGTAAAAATAAAGCTGAGTTGTAATAAAAAGTGTCTTAAATTGGTAGATTTCTATCCTTTCTAGATCTGAACAGAGCAGTTCTGTGTACCTGATCCTCACGTTCAAAGCCGGGAGCTTTGGGATAGTTAGACGTCAGAGATGAGACAGTGGATGTGGTGGACTCTGAACATAAACTACTATTAGTAAGGGTTATTGGCCTGCTGATGGATCCCACTGGGGATAACAAACTGTCGCTTCCTGAGCTTGGTGTTACAGTGGAGTTACTAGAACATGAAACCTGAGAAAGAAAAGTGCACATGACTTCAACAAACGGATGATAAAAAATAACAAGTGAAATCAAAACTGCTTTATCAGACAGACAACAAAACTAATGAATGGAATGAAAATCTATAAAACAGATAATGCATAAAGCAAAAACATGTACGAATAAAAATAAAAAAAGGTAAGTATGATAAATATAAGAAAAACAAAGATAATGAGTAATGTAAACAATTTCACTCAGTTAGTTTTGCTATTTGAGGACTGAAATCAGAGGAAACATACATGTCCTACTTGTCCATTGCTAGTAGTTGCGTTGGTGCTAGGGTTGGCTCCACTGGTCCACTCAGGGATTGGACACTCAGAAAACTGCTGGGAGCCCAGCTGGGACTGTGAACTCGAATGTATTGCTGACAGCAATGAGTTCATGGTCTCTTCTGTAGAAGGGATTCCTGAAAAGATCCAAAATTAATCCATCAATCTAAACCATACCTATCAAACTCAGGCTGTCATGGCAACTTATCCAGCCTACATAAGCCAAAATGAGGCATAAGATGCAATACAATAAAATGTTGTTTTTTTTAAGAGTAACAACTAGTTGAATTAATTGTGATTAATTGATAATTGAAATAATTGTTAAACTAATTTAGTAATCAATGAATCTTGAAGGAACATTTAACTATCCGATTAACAATAAATTAATCAAATAAAATAATCAGTAGAATTAACAATTTGCAAAATATTGTAACCCTAGAGTAAAGGAATAATACCAGAGCAGTTTCATACATACAGCGGCAACCAGCTGACAATGCTGAAGTGGCCCATTATACCACCGAGATATGAAACCCCTGATCTAAACCGTCAGTATAACAAGCTGTAGCTCTTTTTACACATTACTTATGAAGCTTCTGCTCTGAGAAGATAACATTTGTGACAGAGGTGGTGCATTAGAGCATATATTTGCTTAAAAATAGGAAACAGGAATCGTAAAGTTAGAAAGCTGTCCTTCGAAAAGACAGGGTGCAACTTGTTTCACCTTTAATACTCATTTTAGTTTGTCTCCAACCAACAAACAATAAGATAACATTTCAAAAACACACATCATGTTTACTTGATGATTAGTAGACATGGCTTATTGTGTGATTCCCACGTTATAATAACCTTAGGCTAATATAACTGTGACACAGGTTTAACACAAAAACGTAAAATATATAAGCGCCTTTTTAACTGCAGTTTTAAAGCAGTTTGACTTCCAAAGCAGAGCTGTCATAATTTTTGTTTTATATAGTCTGAAAGTTTAAAAACAAATCTCATAAAAACAGATTTAGAACAATGGTAATGGCATGAGGAAAGATTTGGATTTTCTTGATAACTGGGTCATAACTAGTTATCATTTCTACTAATGAGAATTTGAATTGCCATTTTGAAATAACACAGTAAGAATTGTAAATTTCTGATATTTAGACTTACTTTCTACATGTGCAAAAGCACAAAATGGTCCTCGGGGACAATATCCTGTTTGTCGTTTGTCATTGCATTTGGTGGATTTGTAGATCTAGAATGAAAAAAACAAAAACATTCTTTGGTCGACGAGACGATAATCTCAAGAATATTTCACAGTGAAAACTCTGTTTAAGAACAACTTTTTTGCAGAATTTAATCCCAAAATCTGGCATTTTAAGGGGTTTCTAAACAAAAAAAAACTCAAAAATTTAAATCAATTTCTAATGAATAGTTAGAACAACTAAACAAGCCTCACTCACTTCTGGGTGAAACTGCTGTTCCGTACGAGAGTGACAATACTGGCAACTGTCTCCACTGTCACATTTTGAAGGCTCGCCCCATTCGTCACCATGTTTTACATTAGGACAAGGAGTTGACCTGCATGCAAAGAATTAAAAACATGTTAACACTTTAAAGAAAGGATGCATCACATTTTTTTTTTTAAATACTACTGCTCAAAAGCTCACCGGTACTTGAACTTCCTTGGATTTCGCCTTCGATCCCTACTGTTGTGGTAATGGGGACACGCGTAGCCTTGTCTACATAGTCTTGGCGGCTTAGTACACTGATCTGTTTTATAATTGGCTAGCACGAAGTTGGTATCTGTAAAGTAAGAAAAATAACCTTTAACATTATATTTTTAATTTTATTAAGCAAACAATCAAATAGGTTGGCTCCTTTCCAACTAGAGAACATTTGCAATCTTCTTCAAACTCACCTTTCCAGCGTGGATCTTCAGTCAGCGTTTTCTCGATCATAGCTTGACTGGCCAGAACACCGGGCTGCAAATCAGGGATGCCTTCCCCAGACCCCAACTGGCCATTCTGGAGGGCCTCTTGTGCTTGGATCTCTCTGTGACCAAAGAGAAAACAAACTTATTTCATGCTTTTTTCTAAAGACAGAAGATCCTAAAACCACTGCAATATTTAACATGAAAAAAAACAAACAAAAACAAATAAATAAATATATATTTTTTTTAACCATAAATTTAAAAAAAATATATAATTTTATGGCCTTACTTATTCCTAAAAGGTTTATTATATGCGTTTTCAAGACTCACTGTGAAGCTCTGACCTAAGGCTGAAACAATTAATCCGATTGTGATTAATCAATTATTGAAATAATTATCAAATAATTTAGTAATCGATTAATCATTAACTGGAAAATAGACTCTAAAACATGCCTTTATCTGACAGAGTGACCCATTTAGATCAGTAATTATACCAAAAAATAAAAAATAAATAAACTTTTTTCATATGTCAATATGCTCTGTCCAGAACAAGCCTATCCAGACACCAGGTGAAACTTAGTTTCACCAGGTTTACTTTTGTAAAAAATCCTCCTTAAGGAACCTTTTTCTCTCCGATTATTAATCGATTTCCAAACTAATCGTTAGTTGCAGCCCTATTCTGTGCACAAACCAATGCAGACATAAGAGAAGGGTTTGCTTTTCACATCACCTGATATCATAGACTGGAGGTCGGAGATCATGTGGTCCATGAGCAAAAGCACAGTGGAGGCCATTCTTCACACAATGCCCCCGAGCATCCGTCTCATGTATACAAGTGCCAGTCTTGTAATATCTTAGATGGTACTTGCGCTCTGTGTCACCAGTGGTGCGGTGTAAATAAGGGCAACTAAGAAAACAAGAGAACAGAAAATGGAGATATTTGATTAAATGAAACGATCTTCATTAGATTAATGTTATTTCAAATACAGCTGGGTTTAGATTTGATCATCTCCATAGTGTAACTGCAAAAACAAGCCTGTAGCCTTAATTATGCATGATTTGTCAGGATAATTACATAATAAGATATATAGCACATCTTCATGGTTGCAAGAAGCTGCTCTAGTTGCAGACATTTTTTTTTAAACAGACAGCCCTTTAATGCTCTGAAAATGTGTGACCAGCAAGCTTCTTGAAAAAAAAAAAAAATGTCCTTTCTTGAGCTGGAGTTGCCATAGCAACACACAAGGTCATACAAAAATAGCTTTTATTACAGAGGAACTGTAAGGATTGCTGCATACTGTACATGTTACTTTAGTGGGATTTAATCAATGTGGTATTGTTTATAAGTCACACAACAAAGCTGGATTATTTGGCGAGAAACCGTCAGCCCTTCTACCATTTCTTATAAAAGTGTATTTGTATCAGATAATAATTTTACATTTTCTAAATTCTTAAATAAGGCTTCAATAATTGTTTCCATCCATTCTAAAAAAAATGCACAGAAATGCTAGCTGTTCAGTTTTAAAAAGAGCATATTCACTGAAAATAAGGTTTTTCATGTTAAATGCAGAATAAATTGATTTTTTTTGCACAGATTTGGCTTGATTACTCCTCTAACTCCTCTAACGTTTTAAACTCTATATACTTCAGTTAATAATCATTACTTAATCAGTTGCCAATTATCGAAATATTTGATTAACCCACCTAATATAATCGCTTTAGTACTTCTGAAACTACTTCAAAGACACTTACTTGTACTTTTTACAAATGAAAAAGTATTTTCATACACTGCTTAAATATTCTTCATTATCATTTTCAAAATAAGTGGACAACAGTGACATCATAAAATTTTTTGTAAGTGTACCTTTAGTTGTGATTTACTTTTTACGTCTATCTATAAAACATAAAATGTTAACACATCCATTGCAGATTATTTTATTTTTTAAAGCAGATATATGTGACTTAGTGTCACAACTTTTTCAGATTTCAATAAGTAAAGAAGAACATAACCCCAGAATTTCATCTTCTCTTAATGTAGACAGTGGTTGATATACCAACATATACAATAGTCATTAAGCCCCACTCCCACAGACTGACACAATGGGTCCCTAAGCAAAAACCCTTAACCCCACACTGCTCCCCGGGGGCCGCACAATGACAGCCCACAGCTCCCCAAGGGGATGGGTTAAATGCAGAAATTGTATTTTGTTTCTCTGTACTTGTGACAGTGTAATGACAATAAAAAAAAGCTGAAAAATAAGTTTTTTTTATGTTACTCAATGAGAAGGTTTTCTGAACTCCACTTGTACTTACATCTCCCAAAACTCCAGCTTTAAAGTCATATATTGAAGCCATGGCCACATTAGTTAATTTAGGCAGGGCTGTCAACTCTCACCCATTGGGAGTGAGACTCACCCATCTCAGTGTCTTCACACACTCTCACTCCATATTCCCAATTTCTCACACTAAAAAAATGACATTAAAACTCAACTCTGTTCCACTTATGTATATGTATAAAAATACCATGCTGGTCAAAATCCAGTCTGCGTTTTTAATACAACCTTAGTGCTAACACACAAGGACCATGTTTTGCTCATAAGTTTAATAGGGCAATTATTGCTCAGCCTAGTGCATTTAGGATTAATTAAACCAACACAAAAAAACACAAGAAAAAAAACATTGCATTTTATTTTTTAAAAGATCAACCACCCAAGAAAAGACCAACCACATTCAGAGAGGGTGTGCAGAACAACTCATTTATCCTGGATTCATAGAGGAGAAACCACAGGGATGTTCTTCTTTTATCATTACTTATCTTATTAATTTATCTTTATTTTGGTCCATTGAATATGTTTAAAAATGTAATTTCTATCACACCTTTCAAATGAAACATCCAGAGAAGTGCTGTCTCCTGTCAATGTTTAGCAGTTTTGTAAATTGTAAGATTGGTTGTAATTAATAATATAATGAAGATTCTTAATCCTTAGCCTATTACCAAATACTCATACACAGTGTAGTTTGCATAGGTTTCGATTGCACTGGTTCCTGTATCAGTGCCAGGAATCCAGTACTTATAAGTTCTCCATTGTTTAATATACTTGAACTGCAGAGAATTATTAATTAACAAAGTTAAGTATATTTAAGATGCAAGTATTTTAGCAGAGCCCATTCTGCTTTATTTAAATTCTCTAAAAAACACCAGAATGTAGAAAATAATGTATATTGTGAGAAAAATGTTAGACATAACTTCAGATCACTTATTGTTACTCAGTAACATTTACTGTTTTATAAAAGAAAAAATCCACATTTTGTCACTTTGTTTGAGTTAAATCCTCTGAAAACCTCCAACCTTTAGCTGCACCTCATCTAACCCTGACAGGAAACTATTTCAAAATCTCACCCCAAGGTTTGGTGAAAAGTTGGCAGTCCTGTGTAGGATGTCACTGATACGTGAGATACTTTGCATTTATTGTAACTGTATTGTAAGACTTACTCATCTCCATCTGGGCAGATGCCTGTGGTCTCATCGTATTTCGTGCAGTAGACGTCGGGGCTATAGTTAAAGGTCCCGTCTCTTCTTCTGATAGGTCGTCTTCGGCGTTGGTTTAGAAAATGCCAATGAAAGCAAGTAAAGGGTCTGTGCTGCGTACACTTGTGCTGGAGGAACAACGGGCACTGCTCCGTCCTGAACTCCTTCAAGTAGCTGCAACATGGAAGAAACACAAAGCAACGCCGTTAGCTGGGCTTAAAAACGTATCTCCGGTTAGCAACGAGCGGACAAAAGCAAAAGGAAAAGCACGGCGACGCGTCGTGTCTCGCTGTAGATTACTATAGAGTATACACTGGCTCCCCGAATTCTGGACGCTAACTACGCCCTACTTTTTACGTAACGGTTGTTCACAACATCCGAACGTCCGCCTATAACTGTGCGTAGAAAGAAGGAACTTGAAATAAGGCCGAGCTATTTACAAGCAGAATGTGAGGGAGTTCCTGGCTAATTATTTAGCTAACCAAAAACTCTGCATAGTTTTAATTACACGATTCAAATATATTCTGTGGCGAAACCACCTAAAAACGGACTATCGTAAACAAAGCAAATGGAGACGTTCCTCTTTCGCTTGACGCTGGTGTTGTTAGCTGTCGTTGTAACGTAAGGCAGTCACAAAGCCAGGAAAAGCACCATGTTTTAACGCACATACGAGAGTTGAGGAATAGCAGGCGTGCAGACGCATAAAGCTGCACGAGCGGTTGGCATTTTTGAAATTAATTGTTTTTCCGAATACTTCGCAGCGGCGTTACTCACGTATAGTGGGTAGGTTTCTCGGTTTGAGGAGACGCATTGGCCGCCGTTTTCGAAACCGACGGCATTTTCAGTCAAAACAATGAAGTGCGCATGCGCTGGGATCTGTTGCTCCTCTGTAGGCACGTCCGCCTGCACGCAAACACAGGGAGCGCGGAAAAAACAAACTGATTATTTACATCCCAACATGAGTGTCAAAATGCAAAAATAAATAAATAACAATAATAACTAAATAAATAAATATAATAATAATAGTAAAAAATGTCAGAATTGTAAATTTACAGTCATTTTTACTATTTTTTCAAGGCTCCACTTTAAAAAATATGAAATTGTCCATAGAGCTGTTCCAAACGAAATTTCTTTTTGATTTAAACTTGTGTAAACAAAATGACAGATATTAAAGGCAAGATTAGGCTGGAAAAAACATGGAAAATAGAGAAAACCAAATTAGTATTTTCAATTGAGCCTTGATCAAACCAGATTTTGTTTTTACAGAAACCTCTGACGGTATTTGAAATGTGTTCTCAATGGAAAAGTTTAATGTTTATTAGTTTTTTAAACCGTGGTTATACAGATCATTCATTAATAAATAAAACGTTTAGCTGTTTAGTGTTCAATTTTAAGCATCAATCCAGATAAATAATTCAATTTTATCATATTTATTTTGGTATTTCACATCTTGATTTGATGAAAAATAATACCCCCAAAAGTTTTATATTCTACTTTTAAGGGCTGACCTACTTGGTAGCACTGATGCCTTGCAGCAAGAGGGTTCTGAGGGTTTGAACTCCAACCTGGGTCCTATCTGTATGGGGTTTGGATGTTTATGATTCCAAAAACATTACCTTTATTTTAGCTGATATGAATTGCCTTTTCTAGCTACAAACAGAATGTTAATAAAGGATTAATTTGTGCACTGACAGATTTATGGACAAAAATCAAATGAGGTTTGAATTCAGTGATTTTTTTTACTCTCTTTGTGTGTTTTAATATCCTAGCAATATTCTACATTGTCAACATATCCATCTTTTCTGCATATTCAGGACATATCTACATGTATATAGTTTTTTAACAAGTTCAATGCAATTCTTTATTCTGCCTTTATACTTAATAATTCCCTTTTAATTTAAAGCAGATTCCTTCTAATATTTCCTTTTTTGTCATTCTATAGAAAGGTTTACATGTGTTCACATGAATAAATATATAGAAAAAGAAAACATGGACTGAATGTAAAAAAACACCTTGATTTGGTGAATCCTTACACTCTAGGAAATCAACGGCTCAAACGAAGATGACCTCCGTTTTCTGAGCATGAGACCCTCATATTTTTTTTATTTTTTAGGATTCTCTTAGAAACCAGGCTGCAGCTCATGACAGTTCATGTATCACCTCATTACACTGCATACATATTGAAATACTATTTATAAGATTACGGATAAAATTGTTAAAACTCTACACCCCCTGTCAAACCTGTAGTTTTTGTGATAAATCAAATAATACTGGGTCCCTTTGAAAGCTTTTAGCAAATATTTGGAGATTTTCCTGTGTATAAAATCTGAAAAAAAAACAACAACATCAATTTAGAGGACTATAAAGGAATGCAATAATCAGAGTTACAAAACAGTATAGATTGTAAGACTAATACTTTGCTAAAACACTGTTTGTTAACAATTTCAGCATCTAGTGTTGCCCAGTCTAGGTTCAGTTCTCCAGATCTATTGGATCAAGCATCTTTAGTCCACAGATTTATTCAGATAAAATTTTGTTCATAGATACAAGCTTGATCTGATTGTTTTACTGAAAATGTAATGTCTTCATCTTAAATATTTGACCCGACACTTAAGGACTTTAGTTTGGCTGGTGCTGGAAATATTCATAACTTCATATATCTTGACAAAAAAAAAAAAAAAAAAACTCAGTCCAATTGTGAAGTAACTACAAAACTCTGCAACCACCATCCTTTATGTGAGCTTTGCGTCATTTTTGGTGATAGGATTTGTTTTATGTCAAATGTGTGATCTAAAATTATGGAACAAAAGGTCCAGGTAGGCTTAGTTAAACTATAATCCCACCGTTTTTCATGAACCTTCAATCTTTTTAATTATTTGGAAGGACTTGTACATGAACCCCACATTTGGAAGATTAAAACCGTCACACTCTGTAGCCTCCCCATTTGTCTCTGGACCAATGTCCACATTTTGTAAGGTCCCTTTCCACCCAAATGTTCCACAACAATTGGTAAAGGGCTTCACGTTGCCATGGTATTAAATACTGGGGAATTTTCTCTATTTTTTTCTGATAGAAAGCTATGTGCAGCAAAGTGATTTTAAAAACTCTCTTCAAATCATGGCTTCAACAGAAAGATAAAAGAGAGCAAATTTTAAAAAGTCCTCTGAGGACAGCTGACATTTCTGTCTGGTTCATTTGATGGAGAAAATGTAAATGCAGGTAGTCACGGCAACTGAGTGTTGAACCTAAAAGAAAAGGTTTCTCACTATCTGGTTTTTACAGCTTTCTATCTCTTATGAGTTTTATTTGGCTTTTTTTTTCAATTGTATTCAACATTAGAGTATATGTGGGCAATTTTTTATATTTTTTTTAAAGTAAAATATTTATTTAAAAATAGTATTTTAACAAGGGTGTACATCAAATGTGAAGATTTAAGAGCAGTGGTTTATCTTCTCCCTCTCTGAAAAACTCACGTTTCCTTTATGTATTCCCTTCGTCAGCATGCTATTTATAAAAGAAAATCCATTTGACAATTTTGATTCTTTACCTCCTCTAAATTTCTAATCTCTATTTTCTCTCTGAATCTGGGAGGATAATCTGTTCAGCACTTCTTCTTCTAAGTGGTCTGAATATACAAATGCAATTATGTGTCTAATCTATTATTCAGTTGCTGAAGTCCACTGAGTTCACATTCTTGTAATAATACATAAGCCCATGCTCACCCTGTTGTAATTGCTTGGACAAATTCAACCAGAGCTCAGTTTGCTGTTCAACAATGTCCAGCAGCTCTTCATAATCCAGAAAAACATTTAAAAGTGAACCGTTATATGTAAAATAAAGTTTCATCACTTAAGAAGAGGTAGTGCAGCATATTCTATTGGGGAAGCTTGAAATATTTAATACATACTTTCTGCTTTAAGTCCTGGGAAGCTAAAATAAAAGCTAAAATTGCTTTGTTCATTCGGTTCTGTTACAGCATCGTCTACAAGAGGTATGGAAAAGTCCCAGTCTTTTCCTTCTAGTGACGTCAGCCAGCACAAACCCTTAACCTTGCTCAGTAGTCTCAGCTGCTCACAGAGTCCACAGCCAAGCTCTTCTCACAGCCTGTCAGATGAGCATGTTTTCAAGTGTCCAGATATGTGTGTATGGCAGAGATGAAGGTGATGTTTTGTCTCTCCTCATATTCTGAACACGTGAACAGAGGGACCTGTTTATATCAATAACCTTGGCAGCCTGCTTTGCATTATTAGTTAAATGACTTCCTGCTTCTATTCCCTTAGAGACGCCTTTAAATTATTACAGTGTCTTTGAATTTGCATAAATATAACCACTTCTAGTTACAGAAATCCATATATTAAATCAAAGAATTAAAACATTTAGTATTATAATCCTTGCTAATATTATTCACTACACTAACTTTTGTATTTCTGTAATCACAAGAATAATCCTGAGAATGATGTTCCCAGGACACTTACAGCTGGAATAACAGTCTGTACGGTGGACTACAGTTTTTCCCAGTAAGAGAAAAACATATAAACAACAGTATTCTTGTTTCCTGTATTATTGCTTATAAGATACACTGCACACCAGGCACGTGCAGAGGGGGGGGCTAAGGGGGCTTGAGCACCTGCCCCTTCTGCTCCATGATCCCAATGTGCCCTTTTGGTCCTTTTTTTTTTTTTTTTTTTTTTTTTTGACACATGTACTGAAATTATTATTATTATCTTTTTTTTTTGGCAAGAAAAACAATACAATAAGCCCTCCGGTAACATTGTTACCTTTGACCTTTTGCCGGTGACAATGCACTTGCCTCTCTCACAGTCAGATAAGGCGGCTAACTGCGGAGCTAAAGGTAGCGAATATTCCACATTACACTGTGGCCACTGCTCATTTGGCCCTAAGCAAGATCAACCATGATCGGACGGATGGCTATGTCTTCAGTCTGCACCGCCTCTCCAATGTCAACCTGAATAGACATGTAAGTGAAACCAAATGAGCCCCATGGATGATGCAGTATTGTTTGATCTAAAACACTGTTTACTCTGTGCTTTTAGTCTTTTACATTGAAAATTATGTTTTTTAATTTACAAAAAACTGTTCTGTAATGATTACAGAACAGTTTTTTTGTGAATTAAAAAATATAATTTTTGGTGAAAATACTGGAGTAGGCTTCCTACTTGTCAGACAACGGAAAACTTTGAACGTTGTATAATTTCTCTACTTTAGCAAAGAGTAGCGGTTTAAACGGAGTAAAGTATAGGACGCGGCGCGCCTTTCTCTGAAGAACTACTGAGCGGAAGGAGAGAGCCAGGTGAGGAAAAGCTGTTCTTATCTATCGATTCAGTATTTTTATCATACAGACATTAGGCTGTTGTTCTTGTGTTTCCCTTAGCTTTGATTGTATGTCTCACAATTTTGTAATTTATCATTGTTCATTAAACTCTGAAAGCTATGTGACTTTGTTAATATTCTGTCCTAAAATGCGATAAGATGTGCCCTTTTTTTTTTTTGAGCACCTGCCCCTTTAGTGGTCTATGCACGGCCCTGCTGCACACTATTAGTTACAGGTGCTGGTCATAAAATTAGAATATCATGAAAAAGTAGATTGATTTCAGTAATTCCATTTAAAAAGTGAAACTTGTATATTATATTCATACATTACATACAAACTCATATATTTCAGATGTTTATTTTGTTTAATTTTGATGATTACAAATGACAACAAATGAAAATCTCAAATTCATCATATCAGAAAATTAGAATATTGTGAAAAGGTTCAAAATTGATGGCCCCTGGTGCCACACTCTAATCAGCTAATTAACTCAAACCACCTGCAAAAGCCTTTAAATGGTCTTTCAGTCTAGTTCTATAGGCTACACAATCATGGGGAAGACTGCTGACTTGACAGTTGTCCAAAAGACGACCATCGACACCTTGCACAAGGAGGGCAAGACACAAAAGGTCATCGCTAAAGAGGCTGGCTGTTCACAGAGCTCAGTGTCCAAGCACATTAATATAGAGGCGAAGGGAAGGAAAAGATGTGGTCGAAAAAAGTGTACAAGCAAGAGAGATAACCGCACCCTGGAGAGGATTGTGAAACAAAACCCATTCAAAAATGTGGGGGAGATTCACAAAGAGTGGACTGCAGCTGGAGTGAGTGCTTCAAGAACCACCACACACAGACGTATGAAAGACATGGGTTTCTGCTGTCGCATTCCTTGTGTCAAGCCACTCTTGAACCACAGACAGCGTCAGAAGCGTCTTGCCTGGGCTAAAGAGAAACAGGACTGGACTGCTGGTGAGTGGTCCAAAGTCATGTTCTCTGACGAAAGTAAATTTTGCATTTCCTTTGGAAATCAAGGTCCCAGAGTCTGGAGGAAAAGAAGAGAGACACTTCATCCACGTTGCTTGAAGTCCAGTGTAAAGTTTCCACAGTCAGTGATGGTTGGGGGTGCCATGTCATCTGCTGGTGTTGGTCCATTGTGTTTTCTGAGGTCCAGGGTCAACGCAGCCAAATACCAGGAAGTTTTAGAGCACTTCATGCTTCCTGCAGCTGACCAACTTTTTGGAGATGCAGATTTCATTTCCCAACAGGACTTGGCACCTGCACACAGTGCCAAAGCTACCAGTACCTGGTTGAAGGACCATGGTATCCCTGTTCTTAATTGGCCAGCAAACTCTCCTGACCTTAACCCCATAGAAAATCTATGGGGTATTGTGAAGAAGAAGATGCAATACACCAGACCCAACAATTCAGAAGAGCTAAAAGCCACTATTAGAGCAACCTGGGCTATCATAACACCTGAGCAGTGCCACAGACTGATCGACTCCATGCCACGCCGCATTGCTGCAGTAATACAGGCCAAAGGAGGCCCAACTAAATACTGAGTGCTGTACATGCTCATACTTTTCATGTTCATACTTTTCAGTTGGCCAACATTTCTATAAATCCTTTGTTTTTATTGGTCTTCAGTAATATTCTAATTTTCTGATATGATGAATTTGAGATTTTCATTTGTTGTCATTTGTAATCATCAAAATTAAACAAAATAAACATCTGAAATATATGAGTTTGTATGTAATGTATGAATATAATATACAAGTTTCACTTTTTAAATGGAATTACTGAAATCAATCTACTTTTTCATGATATTCTAATTTTATGACCAGCACCTGTAAGGCAGTGAATATTGAACATTGATTAAAAACCTATCTTTCTTTAAACAAATAAAGATGCTTTTTCTTTTGGTTTTCCATCAAATTCGGCAGAGCATCTTATTCTGTGGGAGAGTAGGTCTGAAAACATATTTCCTGCAAGAAAGACAGTTGTCCTCCAGACAATATTTGAGATAAAGGAGAGTGAGACCACAGCACAGCTGCCCAACTAACCCAAAGTTACTGCAGTGCTTCATGCTGTTTTATTTTTCTGTATAAAAAGATTCAGCTCATAAAAAAGCCATTACTGAGAAACCGCTCAAACATGTGACCAATTGTGAAATTAATGAAATAGTTCTTATGAAAACCTTACTGAGGACTGCTCTTTCTTTTTTAATGCATTATTAAAGAATAATCCATGTTGGCAGCACTGATAAATTAGTTTTCTCTAATGGATTTGAATTTTTTTTACATCATTTTCTACAATATGTTTGAACATTTTGTTTAAGTCCACAGAAAAAGGAAACAATATAGTCAAAATTTATTAAGTGCCTCAGGGGTTAAGTCATCTTAAAACATGACTGTAATTAAACTTTCTTTTCCATAAATAGTAATAAAAACAAAGGATAAGGACCAACATATTTAACAAAACATTGTGTTTTTAAGGCTTTGAGGACAATATTTCTGGAAAGGTGGAACCAGAACAAGGAAATATACATTTATTTGGCATTATTAAGGCATTTTTTTTATCCTATATGAAGATGTCTTCTGTTAAACAAAGCTGAGTCAGAGGCATAGAAAATACATTCTGTATTTTTGCTGCTTCATTGACTGCTCTGTGTTTGTAAAACCTCATGATCATATTTCATGGATAATGTGTTTGTTACACACGTGTGAGCTTCTTGATAAAGGCTATTTTTACTTTTCAAACTGGAAGGGACATGTGGTTTTTGTAATTGAAATGACCCATCTAGCTCCTGTAGCTCAAACAGATAACTTTAATAGATTTAGTGTGATGGAGCACTTCCTCTATGAGATGGCTTCAGCTTTAAAGGAGCCTTTGATTCTTACAGGTGATCCCTCTTGCCCAGAAAACGCTCTGGAGGGTTTGTATCTTGGATGGCAGAGTATACTACCCCTTTTATTTCGACTTATCTCGCTCAAAAGCTGTCATCGTTTGTCGATATCAGTTCCCTTTTGTCTTTGCCGCAGCAAATACCTAAAAAAAACATATCATACAGGCGAAAAGAAACATTTCAATATCGTCATAATTTATCTCTTAAAGAACACATAAACTTGTCCTTTTTTCCCTATTTAAGAGGGTTTGTTCATAAAGCAAGGAAATTATCCGAAGCACAACCAGATGAATGTGATTAAGCCCAAAAGAGAATGAATAATCTATCTTGAATATGAAAAAAATATTATTGAGTTGGACTTTATAAAAAAAAAACTGTCTTAATTATTGCAGTCACACCTCTGAAACTTTGTCCCTGACAGGGAGGTGTAAATCAAGGCCATGGTGGCAGAAGCGATCCACTACGGACCAGCTGGCCTTCTGCTTGACAAAGAGGCGCAGTTTGTCCCTGAAGGTTTCCCCGAGAAAGCTGTAGATAATGGGGTTAAGGCAGCTGTTAGAGAATGCTGCAAGGTTAACAATGTGGCCTGTGAGTGGGTAGTCATGCCACAGGGTGGTAGCAGTCCTCTTCGATGGGTTGGCGGTGCCCTGCAGCAGCTGGATGCTTATGAAGACATTTTCTGGCAGCCAGCAGATGAAGAACACCAGAACCACCACCACGATCATGCGCAGGGCCTTCTGTCGCCTCGGCCACAACCCACGATGCTTCTGGGCCCTCATGAGGATTCGAACGATTAGGGAGTAGCAGAGACCAATGATGGAGAAGGGGATCAAGAAGCCGATGGTCACCTCCAACCACTGGATTTCAGAGACATTGGCAAAGCAGAAGTGTACCTCTCCCCTGTGTTGGGTCTGTACAATAGTGAAGGGTAGAAGGGTGGCCAAGATGGAGGCCATCCAGATGAGGCCACAGCTCAGCTTGGCGTGATGCATAGTCCTCATCGGGCATCTGCTCATAGAGCTGGCCAAGGCAATGTATCTGTCGAAGCTCATCCATGTCAGGAAGAAGATGCTGCTGTACATGTTGATCTGCAGGAAGAGGGACATGAAGGTGCAGAGGATGGCGTAGTCGTAGTACTTCTCATTCAGGTTGAAAACCTCAATGAGGGAATCTGCCACCAGGATGAGGTCGGCCAAAGCCAAATTAACAAAGTAGAGATCAGGAATGGTCATCTTTTCTCTGTGAGTCAGGTTAACCACCAAAATCAGGATGTTCCCAATAAATCCAATGGGAAAAAGAAGGATGGTGTACAGGCAGGACAGAAAGAGGCCAATCATGTAAAACTGGTATCTTTCAGAGTTTTCACTCGTAGTGGTGTTTCTGAGTGAAGTGTTCAGTTCCTTTGTGGTGTTATTATATATCCAGATCAGAGCAGATAACCTATCTTCCATGCTGATTCAGGTCAACCTGTTTTAAATCATAAGCCACATGTAAGTCACATCCAGCAGCTACATCATTACACCACACCAGTTCCCAGTGTTCTCTCCTTGAAGGGATATTCATCTATGCTGTATCAACATGCTGACAGCGGTTAAGTAAGTAAAGCATGAATGGGCTGTTTGACTCCATACTGACATCAAGTTTCATCTGCCAGTAAATTATTGATGAAAAACAGAGGCTGTTCCATGTCTTTAAATCAACTTTGACTTTTGCCCCATTTGAGGCACATCATTCCTAACGTTGAATGTGTGATCCGGCAATTAGAAAGTGGCTTTTTTTTCTTCTCTTTTGACTCATCTGATTGGACAGCTCCTTTCTCACTTTAAGCACACCGGGATCCTTATTCAATGACAAACGCCTTGAGATGGTATTGCTGTAACACCTGAGCTGTGGAAATGACACCAGAAGGAAAGCAATTAGAGAACAAAACCTCAAAAATCAGCAATCATCAGGCATTGATTGCAATGTTTATCATTCATTGTTAAAAATAAACACAACTCACAATCAGTTTGATGGTAGCTTTTGTAAGGTAGAAGAAAAAAAAACACATCACTATTAATACTTTGGATTTAAAGAGATGCATTGAAATCCTGCTTTAAAATCTCCAGACAGTTCAAGCCCACTCCAACCTGTCTGTGCAGACTTGATGACTATTTATTGGGTAAATGGATAAACAAAACAGCGTATTTACTTTTAATAATCTTTGCTTTCAGAGACCATCTCAATCAAATTTGTTCCCCACTGAGAAAAATATTGGACCATCTTTAGGCCCAGAATCACAAACTCTTCCCATAATACCAACTTCTGTTTGGTAAACATGACCTTTAATATTCACTGTCTTCTGGGATTTATTTACTCCTCATGGCAGTCATTTAAGACCGCAACAATAAATAAATGTATGAATGGGTTGGAAGTTGGAGGAAATGCAATATTTATTTAGCTGGTTTCTAAATTTCTGGTGGAATTATTTCAAATAATTAATAACTTAGAGGCATATATTACACATACTTTATAATACATATATCTATTAATAAGTTGATATTTATTTCTCTTTTTGGTGAAATGCAAATAAAACCAACCGCTACTAAGTTATTAGAACAGGAATCTAAACTTCTGTATTTTCAGAACGACTTGTAAATCTGTTTCTGACATAAATAGTCCTGTAATACTTTATAAGGGTAGTTTTCTAAGTAATTTTACTTTCCTACCAAAATAAGGCAAACTATTATGTAATGTGCTGAGAAAAACTGCAATCAAGAGCTCCATTAAAGAACATGAGCGCAGCTGATAACTTAAAACTTGACCGACCAGTGCTGTTGACACTAGAAAAAAAATCCACTATATTTAGTGCAGAAGTTTCCAAAAAGGTATAAAGATTAAACAGTAATATCAGACATACCTCATATTTGGGTTGTATTGCTCCTTCATGCTTGTCCAGTGCAGAGTCAAAAGGAAAGGGTTTTGGAAATCCCATGTCCAGGCTTCTCTTCTGCACCACCTACCGTTTGGCCCAGCCCTGTCTTGGGATGAGAAGAGGGAGGAGAGAGACAGGGAGGCAGGAGATGATCTGACTCCTATGTTTTGCTATCATGCTTCATCAAATCCTCTGCCTTATTTCCTCTGTCTGTGGTTTTAGTGTCTTATCAAATGGGCTGGACAGAGCTATTCTCAATCCTTAAACCAATTCAGCCAATCAAAAAACAAAATAGGAACTGATCAGGATGTAGGTGCTGTGAAGAGTTTTCCTTGTGATATTGTGTTGCTGTGGCAACCACTTACATTTTTTGCTGTATTTGTTCACCTGGGTAGCCCAGCTTTTAGTGTTAAAGGCCATGTAAACACACACCTCATGGTCTTGTTTTTTTACACCTGATGCTAGGAGGTTAAATCAAAAGCTGACATGATGTACATAATTATTCACTGATGGAAAAGTCAGATTTGATGTTTAATTAAGTGTAATGTGAGGTGCAACAATTATGTTTAGATTGAGGATAAGACTGTTAGCTTTCACCCTCAATCAGTCGAGAATGGAGCAGGATATTTGCTTCTGGCCAGGACTAACACTATCATAATTGTAACTACATTAGGTGTCTGTACTGAGACCAATTGTGCCATGAGTAGGTGTGGCATTTTTCTTTTTTTAAGAGCTGAGAGGGATTAATGAGGATGGGTGCATGGACAACAGACAAACATTAGCCATCTGTTTTTTATCAGAATATTTATAGAATCATTGAGAGGACATTTAACATTTAATGTTACAGCTTTATTCCAAAATTGATCCAATTCAGTTTGGATTGTGTTAAAGCACAAATATGAGGAAGGGTGCAAACATATTTTGGCAGCATCAAACATCCTGAAACACAATGTGGTCTACATTGTTTGTGGAAGAGGTCAGAAAACCACTTGGGCTAAACCAAAGGGAGTAGTGAGGGAACAAGTGCCTTGATCAGTGAGGTCACCAAGTCATTGGCCATCTAGGTGAAGCTCCACAGGTTTAACATTTAAAAATGAGAACTTTAAAGAAGAAAGAAAGAAAACCATTGCTAAAACACCTATCAGACCTTCATTTAGGAGAATCATCGTCATGTTATGGGATGCTTTTTCTTCTAAACATCCTAAGTTTTGCAATCGTTCGCCTTCAAGTAGGACAACATCCCAAGGATCACTGCAAAGATGATACATAAGTTGCTTTGGGACAACCTGTCCTTTAATGGCCCAGATAATCAGAAAACCAAGAAAACATCTCTAGAAAGACTGAACAGTTTCTTTCTTCCAGCAGGACCCATGCAACCAAAACACATCTTAGCAGGTCGTAGGAGAACAATGGTTGGAAATACTCCAAGAGCTGTCATGACTGCCAGAGGAGCTTTAGCAAAAGTATTTAGACAAGGCTGTTAATACTTATCTACTTGTGATGATTTGTTTTATCTTAGTAGTTTTTTAGATGAGCATAGATACCAAATAAACTTTGATTCTTTCTCCCTATGGGTCATTGTAGGAAGGATTTTAAGCAGAATATTTGATGTAATTGTTTTTAGTGTAAAGTTGTAAATAAAAATAATAAACAAAATATGTCAAAACTAAATCTTATTGAACACTCACAAAATGTAATGTTTTGAAGTTCAGTTTTTAAAAGCCCCAATTTTGAAATTGGTTACATAAGATATACGTATGCAAACATGAGAGTTTCATGAAGACTCTAATCAAGACTTTGCATCATACATCATATTTGCACTACCAACATGGCAGATTTTTTTCATAAACCCTACTTCTATTTTTATAACAGATTTTTATTACTACTGATTTGTATTACTGATTTTTTCATAATCCCTTCTACTGCATTTTTCCACATTTTATTTCATTTTGCAATGCACTTAACCTTTCCATATTAATACACAATTTTGCACCATGACGTTAAAACTGGTTTTCCTTTTCTACTACACTGTTTACATTCTGCTGCACATTATAAATGGTAATGTTCATTTCACTGTTGTAAGCTGCTCACTCAACTTGAAAACCTTCATGCATCAATATTTCCTTTTGTATACACTCTGTGTTTACAAGATGGCAATAAAGTTTGTCTAAGAAACATTCATATTTAAGTATAAGAAAGAATGTTTCTACCTTCCCAGAGAAATGGTATCATAACAGGTTGTCAAATCATTTTATCCAAAATAAGAGATTCTGAAAAAACACACTGAGAGCTACATTTGAATTGCTCCCTCAAAATTGTCCAAATCCGGTTATTCAGTTTGAATAAAATCACACATATAATGGGACAGAGATGATGTAGAGATGGTTTTAATTGAAGAGGGTTGGATTCTTGAAAAAAGTAAGGAAACATGTCAATTCATTTTGGAAATGACAGTACATTAAAATGTTGTTTTATTTTATTTTATATACAGTTCCTAATAAGAACATGGCAAATATGTTACTTAAATCTGATTTAGATAATGAGACGTAATTATGGATTCATAATCCTTTCACTCCAATCCAATGCAATCCAGTTTTATTTGTTAAACGCTTATAAACCAACACAGATTGCTGTACAGAAAAATAGATAAAAACATATCAGTTAAAAAGACAAAACAGCTCAAACATAGGTAAAAGTAACATTCACACAACCAATAAAAAAATCGGATACAAATATAAAAGAGTAAAAGGATAAAATAAAATAAAATAACTTCAGGCTAATGATAATGGTTATGGTTTTCATCTGCCATGCAGTCCCATTTAGCTTTGGATGTTTGCTTTTGACTCACAGAGGTGCAAAAAGAAAATCCATTTTCAGGCATCTTTTTGGTTTCAAGTAGCCTGAAATTCATATTTTAAAATATTCATAATTTTTTCCTGATTGATAAAATTATCTGTTCCTTTATAAGAAACACAACCCAGGGGAATATTCACGGAGAACAAGATGCTTTTATGGTGTTACTCTTATGTAGTAGATTAAAATTTTATTTATTAAAAAAGGGGAGATTTTAGTCAGATCAGGATAACAATCACACCTAAAACACAAGCAGTCCTGGTTGGAAAAATTGTTCCATCTCCATCATTGCCACTGTTGGTTTCTTTTAAACAATTTTGGATACATATCATACTTAGTAAAGTCCCTGTGGACGCAAAGTTTCCTCAGTTATTGATAAGACGCTCTCCTGTGCCATGGCATGTAAAAAATACTGTGGAGCTTTTTGTACTCTTCTCCTGACCAGTAATATAAGATCCCTCCTTAAGCTCTCTGCAAATGATGGCGTCAGTCAAATGATGCAGTTGTGTTCAGGATAATCGATCCAGGAGAGCTGAACTTTAATCATATTCAATATAGTTGATGGCCTGAACTCAAAACAACTGAGTGTAGAAAAAAAATCATAGATGATTCAGCAGAGGATATGCATGCGCCCTTATGCAATCAGATAATTGCACTTTTATTTTTGAGATCCCCCGACCATTACAGATTTTTGCGGATTTTAATTGTACAGGATTACAATAAGCTATAATGGTTTATTTGACTCATATTTTTGGGGATCATAACATTTGGATTGTGCATCTAGGTACTGGTTATGAATGGCTATTGTTATGTAACATTGCAGTGCATCTCTCTGTCCACAAGATGGCAAACTAGCATAATAGTTTTGCTTAGGGGTCTGTTTGAGAGGAACCAATCCAACAACTCGATAGGTATGAAAACAGTGACAGAATATCAGAGAATATCTAAAAGAAAAATACAGGATGAAACAAGGAGACTGAAGACTTTTGGTATTCATTTATTAGATTGGTTTTATATAAACTCTTCCAACTACTGTAAAACATGTTTATTCATTAACTTTGAATTTAGAGTCTAAAAAGGAAACTACAACATTACTCCCCTCCCAGGACAATCTGGTGACATCAAAGAAACAGGACAATCCTGGCAGTGTTCTGCTGGGAAACGGTGGGATTTAACCACTTGTGGTTGGGGGGGGGTTAGAAAGTGGGAGGTCTAGGATGGAAGGTAAAATACCATCATCTGCCTCCACTTACCAGTCTGATGTGCTTCTGGCTCCATGCAGCATCTCTAACAGCCACAACCACAAACTGTGAATGGAAGAACCTGCCAAGCCCAGCCCCATTTGCTCTGCTTCCAGGGGCAATTTCTGACACTTAGCTGATCCTGGGATTTTACTGTTAGCACATTTTCTGCTTTTTAGTTTCTTAAGAGAAACAAATGGTGAATGGCAAAGGTAAGAGAGGAAGGGTGGATTGTTTTTCAAGCATCTGCTCTAATCCACTTGTTTTCCCTTGAGCTGAAGTGCTGTGTAGGGTCAGAGGAGGCTTTTCCTCAAAGAGGAAGTCTGCTGGATTTATTATGTTTTTTTACTCAACGTCATCATGTTTTGGATAACTATCCCTTCAGACTAGTGGTGCTTGTTTTGTCTTGCTTTGTTGTTCATTTTTAAAACCCCCACTTGTTTATTTACAGCGTGCCATTTCCTGTTATCTCCTTTCTGTTATGCACGGAATAGCTTTCTTTGTTCTCTTTCTTATACTTTATAATTTTGACGCTATCCTGCCCTGTCATGTTCCTGTCCTCAATCTCTGCAGGCCAATTTCACCCATATTAAGACAAACAGTGGTCTGAGGTTTTGTGTGAAATGTGCTTGACAGCCAAAGAAAACATAAAAAAGCTGGGGGCCAAATGTTCTGTCTTCTTAGGTGGCCTGATGCTGTTCAGTGTTCAACTTGACCCTCATACTTTTGGTCTGGCTGAACCTCTTGAGAAGGAAAAACAATATTAGGACTAATTCAACACATTAAAAACTGTGGGATGTGTCCGAATAAACCCATTTTTAGAATGAAACTTTTTTTAGTGATGCATTTTTCCAAGATGGAAATTTAAAGCACAATTAAATATAAAACACAAGGAAGGAAATCAAATTTATATAGCTCGAACAATGTAATTTTTCTCAAAAATGTAAATGTGATACCTTTAATTCTATATTTAGACGTTTGCAGAGTGAACCTGATCACCCAATTATCTCAACCGTACAGGCTTCCTGTTGTGCCACTTTCCTCAGCCCGGTAGTTGCACAGGCCTTGGTGAGCAGCACTGTTTACCAAAAGCAGTCATAG